AGATGGCAGTTGCCAGATGGCAGTTGCCACAAATATATTATTACCTAATTATTTCAATGTCTCTGATTGATTTTTTCTTAGTTTTTTTGCAGTAATATTATTCCATACAGTGAATTGTGGTATATTTATATTATAAAATGTGTGAACCATCGCTGTACTCAAAATTATGGTGTGCATATTAGTGATTCAATTATTATGTTCATAAAACAATAAACAAATAGTTTTTCTGTTGTTACACTTTATACACAGGTTATATATAAGTATCTGCATGTTTTGTACACCATAACGAACTACTAAGTTGGTCTTGTGAGTCAAAAAGCAACGAGGAGTGACCGCCAAACACCAGCGAGCCACTCACTGCCACTCCCTCCCTCAACACCACCTCACTCACCCTCATCTACCTCCCACAATACTCTTTCTGTATTTATTCACTATACACAGACGTTATATATACGTATTTAAATGTTTTGTTCACCATAACTGTACATCTAAGCTTGTATGGTGAGGAAAGGCCATAAGACGTAGTTACTCACACAGTCAGCTGATCGGCGCACTAATATTTGTCCTCCAACAATATTGTTTGTGGTGTTATTACGCTATATACACACATTATATAAAAGTATCTACCTGTTTTATTCACCATACCTGAACAAATAAGCTGTTATGGTGCCCAAAGACCATAGTGGCCATCAGTAAACAACATGCCAAGTCGTGCAGACGACGCACCTCCCTCACCAAAATGGCGGCTCCCAACCTACTCCTCTCGCTGTTAGCTCACACTATACACACGTTATATATAAGTATCTACATTTGTGTTCACCATGGCGATCCACTAAGCTGGTATGGTGAGTGCAGTTAATAATTGGTGACCACACACAGTCAGAAAACGACGCCACAACCCTCCCTCCCACAGCATTACTCCTCCCTCCATGGAGCACAGCGCTAAATATCACCACAATCCTGCTATTATCAGAATCCTGGTCAGTTTTATCACAGTCAAGGGGCTTCAGTAATACTATCACTGCTAAATAATAGCAGTATCATTTATATTATGGTATTTATAGGCGATGCTGTGGTCATAAGCTGAACAGCGGTGCTGTGAACTCGTGCTGCGTGCGCCAGCCTTGGTGGCTTGCTCAATACTGACGCTGTAATACCCAAGAATGTTAGCCTGGATTTTTTTTCTGGGTGGCATCTGGCAACTATAGGTCGTGGCTGTACTATAGCTGCCCCTATCCCAGGCGGGGCGTTTAAATTATAGCGCTAGACACGAAATCATATATATATGATGTGCGCGGTTTTGGTTTTGTCACTGATATCATTTATATATGATATGCGCTGTTTGAGGGTTAAGTCAGGTTTTTCAACTGCTTCAACCTCCTTATTTTCTTCCAGATTATAACGCATTGCATACTTTATTCACAAAAAAACATGATCACTTTTACCCAAGGGAGGAAGGTACTGAATGTCAAATATCTCTTCCTCCTTCCTGGTAAATATCAAATCTAGCATGGAGGGAACGTCCCCTTCCCTCATCCTCGTAGCTTGTTTAACATGTTGATACAAGAATGTTTCCAGGATGAGGTATACAAATCTACAGGTCCAAAAATCTTCTGTTTTAGCTTCATATGCTTCCTAGTCTATGGATTTCTGTCGGGCCATCTCGGAGTGCGTTCGCTTGGGCGTGGTCGAAACAACGATGTCCCTCGGGTGGGTTTCCCACCTGTTTCCAGTATCAAAACAGGACTGCGCAAACCTCCGGTTCATTCTGGACTTGTCCTGTCTCAACCCGTGGGTTCTTTGCCCCTGCTTCAGGATGACTACACTGTCCCAGGTCCGTCTTCTCTTGGAGCGGGGCGCTTGGATGGTGTCCCTGGTCCTCCGGGACACTTATTGGCACGTCCCGATTCATCCAGGGTTCAGGACTGGCTAAGTTTTGTTGTGGGGCTTCAAGGTTACCGCTTTCATTGTCTCCCTTTCGGGTTGAACTTGGCACCTCGCGTGTTCACGCGCCTTACACGGGTTGTCATGGCCTGTCTGCATCTCTTAGGTGTTCGGGTGTTGGCCTCTCTCGACGACTGGCTGGTTTGGGCTCCCAGCCGGTCCACGTGTCTGCTTGCCAGGGATTTGGTTCTTTCCCAGCTTGCCAGGTTCGGGTTTTTGGTGAACTGGAGGAAGTCCCATCTGGTTGCCTCCCAGGTTCGGACCTGGCTGGGCCTTGTGTGGGACTCTCGGGCCACTTCCTTGTCTCTTCCTGCAGAGTCTCTTCTGCGGAGTATGTTCTGGTTCCTTCGGGGACGTCCCTTCCGCCTCTCTTGCGATCGCTGGGTTCGGACCCCGGGGGCTTTGCATCGATTGCTGCGTCGCCGGCTTCCTCTTCGGGTTTTTTGGGGTTCAGTGCCTTAGCACCTGCCAGAGCCCACGCTCAATGTGTTCACGGACGCATCGTTTCTTGGCAGGGGCTTTGTGACCAGTGCTCACCAGGCCAGGGATGGTGGGGTCCGTCCTTCCTTCGAGCCCACAGCACTGCGGGAGTTCGCGGTGGTGTGGTTTGCTCTTTGGAGGATTCGAGTCGCCCGCGGGTCGATGATCCGGCTCCATTCAGACTGCTCTCTGGTAGTTCATTGTCTGTACCAGGGGGTTCGATGCGGTCCTTGGCTCTTTGGCGCTGATCGCTTTGGGTGACTCATCTGCTGAATTCTCGGGGTTTGGCTCTCCTGGTAGTTCACGTGCGGGGAGTGTCCAACGTCTTGGCTGACAGCCTGTCTCGTTTCGTTCCCCTGTCCACGGAATGGACGGTTGACGCTGACTCCTTCCGTTGGCTTTGCCAGACGTTCAGACCCCCTGAGGTGGACCTCTTCGCGTCGGCATGGTCGTGGCGCCTTCCCCTGTATGTGGCGCCCTTTCCCGACTGCGAGGCCATCGAGGTCAACGCCTTTCTGCAGGACTGGTCGAGATGGGGGTTCCTGTACCCGTTTCTCCCAGTTCAGCTCTTGCTCCAGGTCTTGACTCGCTTGGAGACTTACCAGGGGAGAGTTGTCCTCTTGGCCCCTTGGTGGCCGGCCCAGCTGTGGTTTCAGGCGCTGCTTTCTTGGTGTTCGAACTCGGAGATTTTTCCGCGGCTCCGCCTCTTCCAGCAGATTGGACTGGTACGTCACGTGCATGGTTCGATCTTCTCCTCGAGTCTTCGTGTATGGTATTTTTTATTTGAGTTTATCATCATATCTATGGTGATCAGGTGGCTTCCTTATTAGTGTCCCACCTGCGGGCTTCGTCTCGGCGGCAATATGAAGTTTCCTGGCGGTCCTTCCAGTTCTTCTTACGTCTTCGTCGTTGTACTTCACTTTCTGTTAAGGTGGTGTTGTCCTTTCTCTCTTGGTTGTTCCAGGACCCCTTTCCTTATGCCTAACACTGTCGCCTCGTATCGAGCGGCGCTGGCGGAGTCACTTCAGCTTGCTTTCGGTACTGATGTCACGTCTGCGCCATTTTGCAAGCTGTCTTGGCGTTGTTTCACCTCCAGCCTGCTCATGCGCCGCCTGAGCCATCCTGGTCATTGGACAGAGTGCTCTCTCTTCTTTCTTCTCCTCGTTTTGTTGTGGCCCCATCGGTTCTGGACTGTTTTTCGAAGGCTCTTTTCCTGTTGGCATTGGCCTCTGGGGGTTGGGTAGGTGAGCTTCATGCTCTCCTCCGGTGCAGAGGTTTCTGCTCCTTCAGTCGGGGTGATCAGTTTGTTCGTCTGTAACCTTCTCATTCTTTTCTGGTGAAGAATGAGACTGCTGCTTTCAGGGGTCCCTGGGTTATTGATGTTTGGTTGGTTCGGCCGGGGGTTTCACCATGTTTGTGTTCGGTTGCGGCTCTCCGCCATTATTTGCGTGCCACGGCTTCTGTGTCTGTGGACATGCTTTGGGTTGATCCGGTTTCCCTTTTTCCTGTTCGAGGGTGCGGGTCTCCCAGGTCGTCCGCAGGGTTATTAAGGCTAGCCAGCCTGCGGTCTATCCCCGTGCCCATGACATCCGCAAGTTCACGGTTCTTGCCGCAGACTTAGACAATATGTCCTGGGCTGACATATGGGCGCGGGGATTTTGACGGTCCAACAGGGTCCTGGCTGCTCGTTACCTTGTGAACGTTCCTGGGCCCAGTTGGGCCTGTGTCGCTTTGGGTCGGTGGATGCAACCAGTTGTCTCGACTTTGGGTTGAGGAGTGAGCAGCAACCGCCTCCCGGGTAAGTCCCTATTCTTTTCCTCTGTGGGTAGTTAGCTCTGGGGAGGCATAGGGACTTCCCCCAGAAAACCAGCATTGAATGTAATGAAGTGCCATTTTCTGGGCGAGTCCCGGAGGCTCCCCGGCATCCCTCCCTCACTCTGGTCAGCGTTCTTTTCGCGTGTTTTGACATCCAGCCTCAGAACTAGGGTGTGGATCGCCGGCTCGGTAGGTCTGGGGCTACCTCTTCCCCCTCCTGGGGAGGGGGGGGGCTGCACAGACAGCGGCATGGCGACGGATGACATCATACTAGTTTGCTCGTTTTTGTTTGGGGGAGTTCTATCCACTTGTTCGGCTTTTGGTTGCAATTTTCACCAGAATAGGGGTTTGTTCTGGGACGCCTATCTTTCTGGGTGCCTGACTCAGTCAATGGCAGACATAGAATACTTCCAATTACACGGGGGTTTCTATAGGCCATTGCTTCCCTTGCCTCTCTAGAGGGGGGCCAGGCTCTGGCTCGTGGTCCCCTGTAGGCCCATAAGAACTCCATACACATAACTGATGCCAAAGTCTGATATTTGCATTTCAGCCTAGTAAGCTCCGGGGAGCCTCTGGGACTCACCCAGAAAATGACGTTTCATTACATTCAACGCTGGGTTTTTTGCAGGACATTCTCATCGGTATATTAGGTAAAGATAAGAGATTACACTAGTATTTGAGATACAAATTCCTGTCAACATATGACATATACTTATGAATGTAATAAAGTTTGTTAATTCTGTGATTTTTCCATATTTTAGATGATCCACCAATGTATCATTTGTGTGAACTTCCAATTCACAACCCACAAGCTGGTGAAGTATATGTTGTGAAGGCTCCATCACTATCTCTTGGTAAGTGTATTAGATTGGAATTTTAATTCTACTTCATGAAATATATGTAATGGTAAACTGTTTTTCGTCATTCTAAATAAATGTTGTTTATTTTTTTGTGGAGAGCCAATTCGGCTCCCCGGAGCTATACCGGGCTGTTGTGTATATATTAGACCATGGTAACAGTTAATCTAAGGAGTTCTAAGCTTACCCGAGACCAGAGACAGAACCTGGCCCCCTCAAGAGAGGCACGAGGAACAATGGCCTAAAGACACCCCATGTAACTGGAAGCAGTTTTCATCTGCCATCTACCAGGTCAGGCACCCAGAAAGGTAGGAATTCCAAAACAAACTACTGCTGGTCAAATAAATTGCAAACCAAAAGCCGAACTAGCAACAGAACTCCCCAATCAAAACCAAGAAAACGAGTATGATGTCACCACAAATGCCACGCATCCGTCTGTGCAACCCCCCTCTTCTCCGGGAGGGGATGGGGGGTCCCAGACCTCCACGCCGGTAACTCTCCTCAGTTCAGAAGGCTGTTGTGATGGACGGTCGATCTATCTGGCTCCACTCTTTGCGCAATACTGCTTAGCGGTGTTGTTACTCTGTGTTGGCGGTGTGTGACCAAGACGTAACACAAGAGTACTGGGGCTGTATGCACCTAGGGCCACCTTTCCTAGGTGCCCTGTAAGTACTGGATTTGCGGCCTCAGGGTTATCTTCCATGAGCCGTTCAAGAGCTGCTACCTCCGAGTAGTTCATCGCTGCTCGGTGATTGCCTGCCCTTGGGGGTTCAGCTGGGGTGGTTCTTACTCCTGTTTCCCTTGGGTTAGGAGGTAGTTTTGTCGCTGGCTTGGGCACGAGGAATGGATAAATGTCACAAGTGGAGTACCACAGGGTTCACTTCTTGCACCAGTGATGTTTATTGTCTACATAAATGATCTACCAGTTGGTATACAGAATTATATGAACATGTTTGCTAATGATGCTAAGATAATAGGAAGGATAAGAAATTTAGATGATTGTCATGCCCTTCAAGAAGACCTGGACAAAATAAGTATATGGAGCACCACTTGGCAAATGGAATTTAATGTTAATAAATGTCATGTTATGGAATGTGGAATAGGAGAACATAGACCCCACACAACCTATATATTATGTGAGAAATCTTTAAAGAATTCTGATAAAGAAAGAGATCTAGGGGTGGTTCTAGATAGATAACTATCACCTGAGGACCACATAAAGAATATTGTGCAAAGAGCCTATGCTATGCTTTCTAACTTCAGAATTGCATTTAAATACATGGATGGCAATATACTAAAGAAATTGTTCATGACTTTTGTTAGACCAAAGCTAGAATATGCAGCTGTTGTGTGGTGCCCATATCTTAAGCACATCAACAAACTGGAAAAGGTGCAAAGACATGCTACTAAGTGGCTCCCAGAACTGAAAGGCAAGAGGTACGAGGAGAGGTTAGAAGCATTAAACATGCCAAAACTAGAAGACAGAAGAAAAAGAGGTGATATGATCACTACGTACAAAATAGTAACAGGAATTGATAAAATCGACAGGGAAGATTTCCTGAGACCTGGAACTTCAAGAACAAGAGGTCATAGATTTAAACTAGCTAAACACAGATGCCGAAGAAATATAAGAAAATTCACCTTCGCAAATAGAGTGGTAGACTGTTGGAACAAGTTAAGTGAGAAGGTGGTGGAGGCCAAGACCGTCAGTAGTTTCAAAGCGTTATATGACAAAGAGTGCTGGGAAGACGGGACACCACGAGCGTAGCTCTCATCCTGTAACTACACTTAGGTAATTACACACACACACACACACACATCCCTGTGTACAGGAATCGTAGCAAACGGGTGGAAACAGGCTAACATAGTTCCAATCTACAAAAGTGGCAGCAGGGAAGACCCCCTCAATTATAGACCTGTATCATTGACAAGTGTAATAGTGAAAGTATTGGAAAAACTAATCAAAACTAAATGGGTAGAACACCTAGAGAGAAATGATATAATATCAGACAGACAGTATGGTTTTCGATCTGGAAGATCCTGTGTATCGAATTTACTCAGTTTCTATGATCGAGCCACAGAGATATTACAGGAAAGAGATGGTTGGGTTGACTGCATCTATCTGGACCTAAAAAAGGCTTTCGACAGAGTTCCACATAAGAGGTTGTTCTGGAAACTGGAAAATATTGGAGGGGTGACAGGTAAGCTTCTATCATGGATGAAAAATTTTCTGACTGATAGAAAAATGAGGGCAGTAATCAGAGGCAATGTATCGGAATGGAGAAATGTCACAAGTGGAGTACCACAGGGTTCAGTTCTTGCACCAGTGATGTTTATTGTGTACATAAATGATCTACCAGTTGGTATACAGAATTATATGAACATGTTTGCTGATGATGCTAAGATAATAGGAAGGATAAGAAATTTAGATGACTGTCATGCCCTTCAAGAAGACCTGGACAAAATAAGTATATGGAGCACCACTTGGCAAATGGAATTTAATGTTAATAAATGTCATGTTATGGAATGTGGAATAGGAGAACATAGACCCCACACAACCTATATATTATGTGAGAAATCTTTAAAGAATTCTGATAAAGAAAGAGATCTAGGAGTGGTTCTAGATAGAAAACTATCACCTGAGGACCACATAAAGAATATTGTGCAAGGAGCCTATGCTATGCTTTCTAACTTCAGAATTGCATTTAAATACATGGATGGCGATATACTAAAGAAATTGTTCATGACTTTTGTTAGGCCAAAGCTAGAATATGCAGCTGTTGTGTGGTGCCTATATCTTAAGAAGCACATCAACAAACTGGAAAAGGTGCAAAGACATGCTACTAAGTGGCTCCCAGAACTGAAGGGCAAGAGCTACGAGGAGAGGTTAGAAGCATTAAATATGCCAAAACTAGAAGACAGAAGAAAAAGAGGTGATATGATCACTACATACAAAATAGTAACAGGAATTGATAAAATCGACAGAGAAGACTTCCTGAGACCTGGAATTTCAAGAACAAGAGGTCATAGATTTAAACTAGCTAAACACAGATGCCGAAGAAATATAAGAAAATTCACCTTCGCAAATAGAGTGGTAGACGGTTGGAACAAGTTAAGTGAGAAGGTGGTGGAGGCCAAGACCGTCAGTAGTTTCAAAGCGTTATATGACAAAGAGTGCTGGGAAGACGGGACACCACGAGCGTAGCTCTCATCCTGTAACTACACTTAGGTAATTACACTTAGGTAATTACACACACACTTCAAAATTCAAAATTCAAATTTTGGTGATTCAATTTGTGATTTGGTTCAATGGTGATTTGGGATTCAAAAGGTGACACCCCTAGGGTCAACACTTGCATCAGAGGCGCTCCAGCATATTTCAACAATCCTAAGTATTGTAGTACAGGTTGATGATAGTGAGTGGTGTCCCAGAGAACATAAAGGTATAGTGCTTTTGAAAAATAGGTGAGATAACAGGAATGTGCCAAGTGAAGTGAAAAATTGGATGAGAAAAAGTTGCCCTAGTGTTTCCAGTGCAGAGAAGAACATTCAAGATGGCCGCCGGCAAGAGGAAAAACAAAACAGAGCTTGATTTTGCGGGATTCAATGAAGAAAGCATTGATATTAGTAGTCTACATAACAAGTTGGTAAAATTAGATACTATAGTGAACTCTCATGTAGAAATAATTAGTAAATTGAAAGTAATGACCATTTGAATAGCAAAGTTTTATGTCTTGAGGGTTTAGTGAAAGACTTAGGCAAGGATAAGAATCAATTGGAAACAAATTGCGAAGCCATGGAAGAAGAAAATAAACTCTTAAAAATAACTTTGGAAGAAGTTAAAGCAAATTTAAACATAAATGATTTCAATAGGTTAGGTAAGGAAATTCAACAGGAGAAACAGCTTTTGTCAGCACAGATGGAGGAAGTTACACAGGGAATAGAACAGTGCAAGAAAGATATGCAACTCACTTATGCACAAGTAGCCAAGGAGAAGGAAAAAATAGAAGAAGCAGTAAAGGAAGTCAAACACTGCAGCAACCAAGATAAAACAAACATTAGGCTAGAAGTGAGGAAAGAATTGGCATCTAACCCGAAGTTGGTGCAAAACACAGTTGATCGGAGTAAGTCCCTGATCATTTTTGGCTGCAAAGAAAAGGCGATAACATCTAGGTCAGAAAGAGCTGTAGAAGAAGCTAAAGTAGTAGATAAAATTGTTGGCCTCGTGGAAGGTCTTACAACCATAGAGAATGTGTGCGACTACAGGAGAATAGGCAGGTACGTAAAAGGGAAAGATCGACCTTTGAGGATCACCCTAAACGGTGCCAAACAGATGGAAGAAGTACTAAGGAATGCTAGAAAATTACAAAGTGATGAGGATGGGAAAGTGTGGTCGTTAAGACGAGATCTTTCAAAAGAAGATAGAGAGAAGCTGAAACTGAACCTCACTGAGGCAAAAAGTTTAAATGAGAGCAGGAATGAAGAAGAAATCAATTTTTTTTTCTACAAAGTGATAGGGGTAGGCAAACCAGTAAAGTGGTACATAAAGGCAAACCAACAAAATCATTAGAGAGAGGGGGAGTGAAGAATAAGGAGAGGGGGAACAAGTTCTTGAAGATTGCATACACCAACATAGATGGAGTAAGATCGAAGATACTGGAGTTTAGTGATGTAATACAGCTGCAGACACCAGACATTGTTGCACTCACGGAGACAAAACTTGAAGAGATTATTTTAAATGAGGTCATATTTCCATGGGGCTACTCAATTTGGAGACAGGACAGAAAAATTAGGAAAAGTGGTGGTGTTGCTGTGCTGGTGAAAGAACACCTAAAGGTGAAAGAAATAATGACTGCCAATCCACAAGAAGTTGACATAATAGCACTAGAGATCTGCCATGAGGATGATAAACTAATGATCATAAATGCATATAGTCCACCGCAAAGCAGCACATGGTCAAAGGAGGAGCTAGATAGTAAACGCGAATGTCTTATAAC